TTAACATATATATTTTCCATACCGCTAACATCTGTCATGAATGACTCTAGTACCGTTGCTGTTGTTCTATTCTTCTATTTGTTGGATTCGAGTAGCGTAACTGTAGTAAACTGTCCTATCTACATATCAATTTGATTCTTATCATATCTGGTACGTGTTACTCTAAAAATTACACGGAAGCATTAAAAAATTAAAAGATATATAGAAATCATAGAACTTGAAAAGAAATAGAAATTGGAATTCTTAAAAAGACAAGCAAGTTTTAAATATATAATATTAATAAATGATAAATTAATTCACTTTTAATGAACACTAAAAAAATCATAAAGTTATATTTGAATTTTATCCTAATTATTATAATAAATCAGCCTATGCACCGATAAAATCAATCCTTTTATTCGTAATAAGTATAAGCTTTTCTTAGGCAATATAATAAAAACATATATTAGATGGTTAGAAACAATTTTTTCATTAAATGATTTTTTTAAGGAAACGTCAACCGCTTCTGACATGTGTTTGGAGTCAAGCATGTAATATACTATAAGTAAAGCATCGTCACAAAAGTGAATTTAATGCGTATTGATTTTCTAAGTCGATCATGTAATATATAAAATTTTGTTGAACTCATATATAAAGATTAAAATGTTGAACCACGTTAAATTTGTGAATTTTTTTTTCCTGTGCGAGTGCTTTCAAAGACAGGTATTTTAAGACAGGTAACATAAGGCTCCTTTTCTATCCAAGAGTTAGCCCAAAATATCCGCGTGGTCCTTTTCTCTTTTTTTATGGTCACAGAAAACATAAAAGTACAAGCTAGGATGGACATCCTAGTTTCTTCAAAATACAACCAGTCTTAAAAGGTTGATGTGTGTTTTGGTTACTATTTATTCTGTTATTATGTTATGTTTTGTTTACCGTTTATTCTGTTAAATATTATAATGTAACTGAGATAGAAGATAGAAAATGTGTGTTTTGATTAAAATTATTATGTGATTGAATGCAATATGATGTGGTGATGAGATGGTTGAACCTATTGTGACATGTAATTGATTAATGATTTAATAATGAAAATTTAATATTTAAGGGTGATGTGGGTGAATACGGGCATATGTGTTGTGTGTTGTGAATGAATGTGGGCCTGTGTGCCGTGTATAAATGTAAATATTGTATGTAATTGGAATGTGTTTGAATGAGGCATATTAAATGTAGTTGTAAATATGCTATGAATGGTTCAGCGATGCACTGGAGTATGGAAGATAGGGATGGTAGAAATACCTTGGCGAAGAGAGAGTGGTAGTGATATAACAGTGAGCGTGAGTGTACTACAGGCCACATACTCTCCTCTTGACTAGACCTCTGTTCAATACCTTTGTCGAGCGACTCGTGACCACACACGTGGTATCCGTGATATGGGAATAATCGGTGACCATCCATGGTGTGAAACTATGATCACAATGAGCATGACTATGTGTAATGAGCGCATGTGTGTAGAACAATGTTGGTGTAATGAGTGTTGTTTGTGATTGTTAAATACTTAAGTAGAATATGTCAGAATACATGTGGGTATGCAAGATGAGTCTCTATATTTGTGTATTTGATGATATAAAGTACTTACCCTTACATTTATTTTTCAGGTGATCAAGGCAATCTGCACTAGGCTCAGTGAAGAGATGGATAAAACTGTTATAAGGCTTAAATTTTATTTTAAAATTTAGATGTAATTAAATTAGTCCTGGAACAATTATTGATATAAACTTGTAATCCCTTTATTTTGAAATTATTGAGGGCCAGTCCCCATAAAAGGTTGTTCTTCCCCTCCTTTTTTCTTCCACTCCCTAACTATTAGACCCTTTCTAGTTCCACTCCCATACTTGAAAAAACTCGTTTCTGTAAGAACATCACCACGTCCATGAGTACTCTTTTCTGGAAAGAAAACACACCACGGCTTAAGTAGAAAGAATTTATGAACTTCATAGTTGGGATACTTGCATGTATTACTAGACACATTAAGAAGATCAACTTTAGTTGTCTGTGCTGTATCGTGAAATGAATTTAAATCTTTATTTATACGGTCTTCGATTTTGATATCTAACTCCTCCCAAAGATTTTTTTCAAATCATCCTTTGATGGTTTTGATTAAGGTTAGCGTACAAGTTAACCCATCTTCTCCTGTGTATGACACTTCCCGCGTCGTTTTGGTTTCATTATTGTCACTATTATACTCAAATTTCTTTTCTTTCGAGTTGATTGCAACAGATTTTAGCTATAAATTGTAAAAAGTATCTGCACTACTGATAAGAAAGCCACCGTGATTGTTTCCCATTTCTGTTTAATTATGTGTATAGCCCACTTTCTAGAATATGCAATATGACACGCTAACAGTGAAATTAAACAATCTTTAATGAAAATCTATATCCATAAAAATCTAGCAAAGTAAATTAATAAAGAAATTATCATCAAATCTACGTGAACATAAAAAAATCAACCATACCTGCACGTACTTAGAACGCCAAGAATGTAAATGAATTATTTTGGTAAATTGGACTGAGAATAATTTTATATATATATATATATATATATATATATATATATATATATATATATATATCTCGATCTGATCACTTCATCAATTGAAATAATCAAATCGTCTTCTCAGTAATGCAGATCACTTCATAAATAAAAAAATGCTTTGCATTTTTGGCTTCGTATGGCAAAAATATAAATACAAAGATTACAGAATTAATTAATTTAAGTGGCATCGAATTCTTCAACATATATATACTCCATTCCACTGTTTTCTGTCTTCTTAATGACTCTGGTGGTGCCTTTTCTTTTGTTCGATCCTTCCATTTATTTTGTTGGATTCAAGTAAACTAACCTATCTACTTATAAACTTGATTCTTTTCATATCTAGTACGCGTGTTTATTCTAAGAATCACACGAGAACATTGAAAAACTGAAAGATAAATAGAAATGATAGAGCTTAAAAAATATAAATTGGAATTTTAAAGGGACATGCAACTTTTAAATAAATAATAAATTAATTCACTTCTGACCAGTACTAAAAATACTTACAAAATTATATAAAATTTTGTCCTAATAATTAATAAATCTGTCTATGCACAGTTAAATTTGATCCTTTATTCGCATAGTAATTTTTTTTAGATATTTTTATTTTTAGTTTTCAGCTTTGTAAGTTTTGCTATTAAAGTTGATTAACTTATTGAAAGCACAATTTGTATATTTATTAATTCATGATTTTTTTTACCCATCACACATTAAAAGAGTTTTCATGTTAAATAATTTAATGCCTATTTTTTATTTTATTGTTTTTAATTATTGTAATATTTATTTCTATGTTTGCATTTTTTTTGTAATTATATTTTGCAATTTACCTTTTTTCTTCCATTTTTAAGATGTATTACTTATATATATATATATATATATTAAATATATTCAACTAAAATCCGATTTTAAACTGTTTTTAAACTAAATCTAAAATTTAAAATCAATTTTAAACTATTTTAAAAGAAAAAAATTAGTTTAAAATTTAATCTATATAATTAGTTTGTGCAGTAGATAAATAATGTAAAGTAAAAAATATGAATTTAATTTTAATACAATATGAATGTAAAAGAATTATATTATTAATTTATTAAAATATATGCAGATATAATTTTATATTATTTATTATAAAATTTATTTTTTAATATAATAATTCAATAATATTATATTTATAGTATATTTTACTGAATTTAAAACAAATATAAATTTAAAATCAATTTTAAACTGATTTTGAAAAAAATAAAAGGGATTGGTTTAATATCCAATCCATATTATTAATTTTGAAATGAATTTAATTTAGTTGTATACCCCAATCCATATCCAGGTTAACGTTAATCTTACGTAGATTATTCATTTTGGTGGCATCCAGTGTTTAAATGATATTTATACATTTGTACAGTATATTTTTCTTCACTTTTATCTCATTCTTTTCATTTTAGATAATTCATAATATTTTTTTATCTTACTTTTCCTTCTACCTCTGCACTCCAAAAAACCATAAGGGGCATACCAGGAATGATCATCCTTAATACGTAATATTTTTCATACCAATGGTTTTGCTGAGCGTTTGTCGCAATGTTTTGTTTTTCTATTTTCACATTTGTCGAACTAGCCTAATTATTTAGGACAGTAATAGGTAGGCTTTTTTACTGTATCAGTGCAATGTCATTGCAAATTTATGAAAATAGTGTATATGTTAGAAATAAAAATGTCATTTTTGTATATTATTTATATTATAACATTTAATTATTAAACAAGTATTTGTTTTCATTTTTTTAAAATAATACAAAAAAAGATATATTGAAAGGTTTGAAAAAAAAAAGAAAAATTTAATTTACAAATTAAAATTATTAAATAAAAGTATATTATAAAATTGGTGACATTACAACTTGTCAAAATTTAGCATTGCAAGTTGAATCGTATTTTTCATATACAACTTATTTGTAGCTGATATATCTTTTTCTTTTTCATCGACTATTTTGCTTTATAAAATCTTAAAAGTAAATATTAACAAGAAAGTCATACTTCTCATGCACAACTATTTATTTAATATATATAAAAAATGAAAGTCAGAGTACCTACTCATGACTTTTTTATTATTATTATTATAAAAGTATAATAGTATATCACAAAAATCGCATTTACTTTTTAATTTTTAGAAAATATAATCATATAGAAGAGATATGTCTTATTTTATTTACATAAAAAAATGTAAAATTATCTAATTTCGTAATTTTGCAATGAAACTGCACTGCATGGGACGTTAAAGAACCATGCCCCGTTGTCACGACCCCAATCATAGTCAAAGATGAAACATGTAAAAGAATTTCTTTGAAAATACACTTATCCCTAATTTAATTTTGAATATAATGTTATATACAAAAAATAAGTTCACTACAAGAATTGATTTATGCAGAGAGAAGAGTAATAATTGAAAACCATGAAGTTTATTGAGGAGACAAAAGCATAGCAAAGGAATTACAAAGCCAACTTTTATAAATGAAAAATAGAACCATCATATATCTAAGCACTAATTCTCATCCAAGACCTAACCATGATTGATTCCTTCACTTTATTTTCACTGAAATTCTCTTGTCGGGAAATGATATTAACACCTTTGTTTTGCCTTAAGCTTTGTTTTCATCTTGACGCTTGTTTCTACAAAACATGAATTGCCATTACTTGATAAAGCGATTTGCAGCCCCAGCCAATCATTTATAACTCCTCTAAATATCATAACACGTACACTGCACCCAAAGAATAGATATGATCATTTGTTTCAGAAATCATATATTGCATGGTGCAACAGCTTTCATTTTCGCAAACATGAAATTATTGTGTATTTAGATTTCGGACACTGCACCCAAAAATCAAACGATCATTCGTTTCAGAAATCATACTGTAGAGTGCAATAGCTTTCATTCTCCGTATACATGAAATCACTGTAAAAAAAAAACCTACTTAAAATATATACCTTAATTAAATTATCGTCCACCGTAGAAAAATTTTTCCACGCTGAAGTTGCCGTTGTTGTTACCCTTAATAGCACCTTCATTAGCAAGAACACTTGAAGAGGTTTGCCAGCGGTTTTGAAGTCTAGACATTGAAAAGTTGTCACTATCTTCACTTTCAGATTGCCAGAACATGCTGTTACGTCGCTGCTTCTGAATAGCAGCACAATGAGCACACATTGTAGTCCTCCAAGTTTTGGTTCTACAAGCTTCTTCAAACATGTAAGATAATGCAGAAGTAGGGTGTTGCACAGGACCTTCCACTTCAAATTCCAAATGCCCATCATAATTTGACACTCTGATCTTCACCACCACAGAGAGACCAACGTCTCCATCCAAATTATTGATATAATAATGTGCCACAGTCCCCATAAAAGGTTGTTCATCCCCTCTCTTTTTCTTCCACTCCCAAACTATTAGACCCTTTCTAGTTCCACTCCCATACTCGAAAACACTCGTTTCTGTAATAACATCACCACGTCCATTAGTACTCTTTCTTGGAACGAGAAGACTAGTTAGGAAAATTACTTGACCTAAACTGACGCTATTGGAAGTGAAATGGTTCGGATAGATGATCGTTTTAGTTTTTACGTTCAGAAGACCAGCTTCAGTTGTTTGTGCTCTATCGTAAAATGAATTTAAATCTTTATTTATACGGTCTTTGATTTGGATATCTAACTGCTCCCAAAGATTTTTTTCAAATCGTCTTTCGATGGTTTTGATTAAGATTAGCTTACAAGTTAACCCATCTTCTCCTGTGTATGATACTTCCCATGTCGTTTTGGTTTCATTATTGTCACTGTTATACTCAAATTTCTTTTCTTTTGAGCCGGTTGCAACAGATTTTAGCCGTAAATTGTAAGAAGTATCTGCACTACTGAGAAGACGAAAGCCACCGTGATTGTTTCCCATTTCTGTATATTTGTATGATAGTACTAGTTAGTAGAATGTATAGCCCACTTTCAAGAACATGCAATGTGACATACAATGGGTGAAATTAAACAATCTTAAATGAAAATCTGTATTTATAAAATTCTAGAAAAGTAAATTAATTAAGAAATTATCATCAAATCTATGTGAACATAAAAAGATCGGGCCATACCTGCACGTGCGTACAACTCGAGAACGCAAATGGATTATTTTGGTCAAACTGGCGCTAAGACTAATTAACTATGTATATGATCTGACCACTTCATCACTTGAAATAATCAAATCGTCCTTGTGCTTTGCATTTTGGGTTCGTATGACAAATATATAAATACATAGATTATAGAATCTTTTATTGTGAGGAAGGGAAGCGTTAATCTTCCGCAGATTAATTAATTGATTAATTAATTTAGGTGGCATCTAATTTTTTAACGTATATATTTTCCACTAACATCTGTCTTATGAATGACTCTTGTGCCGTTGCTGTTGTTCTATTCTTCCATTTGTTGGATTCGAGTAGCGTAACTGTAGTAAACTGTCCTATCTACATATCAAATTGATTCTTATCATATCTCGTACGTGTGTTATTCTAAAAATTACACGGAAGCATTAAAAAAATTAAAAGATATATAGAAATCATAGAACTTGAAAAGAAATTGAAATTGAAATCTTAAAAAGACAAGCAAAATTTAAACATATAATATTAATAAATAATAAATTAATTCACTTTTAACAAGCACTAAAAAAATAATATAATTATATTTGAATTTTATCCTAATTATTATAATAAATCAGTCTATGCACCGATAAAATCAATCCTTTTATTCGTAACAAGTATAAGCTTTTCTTTGGCAATATAATAAAAACATATATTATATGGTTAGAAACAATTTTTTCATTAAATGATTTTTTTAAGGAAACGTCAAATATTTACCAACAGCTTCTGACATGTGTGTGGAGTAAAGCATGTAATATACTATAAGTAAATTAAGCATCATTACAAAAGTAAATTTAACGCGTATTGATTTTCTAAGTCAATCATGTAATAAATAAAATTTTGTGGAACTCATATAAAGATTAATATGTTGAACCACGTTAAATTTGTGAATTTTTTTTTCCTGTGTGAGTGATTTCAAAGACAGGTATTTTAAGACAGAGGTAACATCCTAGTTTCTTCAAAATACAACCAGTCTTACAAGGTTGATGATATTCAGAGAAAAGAAGTAGAAAACCAATGGTCATGTTTTGGAGAAATTGTTTTATTCATCAATATGTGTTTTACAAAACTATTCCGATAACAACACATAGGTAACAACGAAAGTGAAAAGTAATAAGCAGACAAGACAAGGGATACGTTATTGTGTTAAAAGAAAAAAATAAAGCCCATAAATTTATTTTTCTTTGTCGCAACTGAGCAATCGCAACGGTACGGTGAAAAACATTTTCAAAAAAATATCAGAGGAGTCGCCACCAAAGTTTATTTTAAGAAAACTTTGGAAAAACTTTTTAAACTAATATGATCTTTGAAACCAAAAATGAGTTCAGAGTCATTTACGTGTAGGGAAGGTATTAGCACCCCACAACGTCCGTTTAAAAATGATTACCTAAAATTAATTGTGCAAATTCATTTTAATTTTAAAAATATTTATTTAATCCCTAAACATTAATTATTTTTATTTTAGAAGAAGAAAAATTATTTATTGAAATATTATTTAGTTTATTTTGAAAATTATTTTAAAAATTATTTTGACTTGACAGGTTCGGTTTCCGCTCCTACGTATCTCCGGGTGCAATAGGAATTCAAAGTCACGTAGTTCTATCTAAAAATTATGAAATTAATTGATTATAATTAACTTTAGTAAGAGAAAAATTATTTTTAAATTAAAATATTTTTTGTAAAATTATAATATTTAGGATACAAGATAACGCGCTTATACATGTACCCTACGAGAAACAATACAGAAAGTGAAGGAAAATCACATAACTATACTGCAAATGGTTAAAAATATTTTATTTGTAACTGAAGTATTTGAATTTTGATTTTGATTATAATTAACGTTGAAAGAGAATTTAAGATAGCGTACACTGTACATTAATTTCTTATAATTTTTGGACAATCGAAAGTAATGTAAATCACACATCAATATTGTAAAAATTTGTATAATAAAATGAAGAAATGATTGGTTATTTTAATTTTTAAAAATTAGAAATAAGACTTAAGAAAATTTAATGAATAAAGTTTTAAATTTAAATTTATAACGCGTAAAAGTAGAGTCGCTACACATTAGCATTATAAATTATTGTGTTAATAAAATAATTTCTATTTAAATTAACTGATTAGCAAAATAGTGATTATAGGGAACGTATTTTAATTGATTATTAAGATAATTTTATAATTAATTAAAGATAACATATGATAAATTAATGTTGCATAAAGCTTTAGGTAACATAGGTACATTCAAGTTTTATCAATTTATAACACACAACGGTAGAGAAGCTATACGTTAATGTTATAAATTGATGTAAACATGTGCTATTTATTCTTTTATCATGAAATAAATTTAAAATGTAGTTCATCTACAAAATAAAAAAAAAACATAAATATAAAATCAAATTACACTCCAAACTTATAGAACATCCCAAAAAATAAATAATAAAATAAACATAAGCAAAAATTTAAGAATAGTAAAAGGGAATTACTTATAGTATTTTACTAATTTTCTGTTTGATTTTAATGAAAAAAAAAGACATATTTTGTAAATAAAAATTGAAGCCAAACATAATATAAAAATAAATATTAATAGTAATAAAGATAAAATAAAAATAAATAAATAAATTAGAAAGAATTAATAATAGTAAAAGATGGAATAATTTTATTAAAGTAAATTAAATATAAGTAACCAAATAATAGATAAAACTGAAAAGCAAAATAAAAATGAATAAAATAAATTTAAATTTATTTATTATTATTTAAAAATTTTTTTGACTTCAGACGTGTTTAATACAGAAAAGGGGCCTAAGTCCAAAATTTTAAGAAATATTAAGAAGTTAAAAAATAAAAAATAAAAAAAAGACAAGAAAAAGAAAATAAAAAAGAAAAAGGAGCCGAAAGTTAGGATTTAAAATGACAAATGTTCAAGATTTATTGCAATCTGCCAATGACTCATCTGAGTAGTCATTTCCACTTTATTATTTCAATTTAATAATATTATATTATTTAAGATTAAAATAAAATAAAATAAAGTAATAATAAAAAAAGAAACTTTACGAACATTAGGTAACTTATACAACATTAGTCTCTCTTCTTCACTTCATTTGCAGAATATCAGAATGTGTTAAGAGTCAAAAGAATGTTATTGCAACGAGAAAGAAAGAAGAAAAAGGAAAAAAAAAAAACTTTAAATGCAGTTAATAAATATTTCATATCTGAATCCAAAATGAAGACTGTGAAGATTTAATGGTGTGATTTCTTTTCCTTCTAGTTTTTAATTTTCTTCTCTAGTCTATTTTTCGTTGTACTCACTTTCATTTTTGCTCTTTCTTCCTGATATCTTCCTCATTATTTGTTCTTCACTTCATTCATACTTTCTGGATATTTTTTTCGAAATCAAATTTTTTGAATTTTTTTTTTCTTTGAAAACTCATACTCCTTTTCAAATTTTTTCTCAGAGAAAAGAAAAAACTTGTCCTTTTCAACCGGGTCTTTTGCGTTTTTATACCGATCATTTTTAGGGTTTTTACGAAACGCTAAAAATGTTCAGTTTCTCATGCTTAGAACTGATTTTTGATTTTGAGTTATAAACCTAATGCAGGCCGCTGTTTCTGGAAAGCAAAAATCATTTTTTTTAAAAAAAATTCTATTTTTCTGTAAAACAATTTTTTTTAATTAAATTTTTTTATTTTTTATTTTTTTTTAAATTTTGGAAGTAATTTTTAGGAGGCAAAAATTGGTATTCACGTTCCTCCAAGATTGTTACGGTTTTCCATTATTAAAAACCGTAAGATTTCCCTCATGAAAACTACCATTACCTCATTGCCAACACTTCTTCTATTTTGCCAACGTAGTGCTACAGGAACTCTATTGTTATCTTCACTGTCAGATTGCCACGCGGCATTTTGCTACGTTGGGTCCAAATATTTGCTCAATGAGGACATGTCGTAGGTTTCCAAATTTCAGTTTTTATGACTTTATCAAATATGTACAACAATGCAGAAGAAGGGTGTTGCTCAGGGCCTCCACCATCATTTCCAAATTTCATTAACCATGTACACGTTTATCACACTTTTTTATATTGTAATTTTTTTTTAAAGTGAGAGTAATTTTTTAAAATTCATTAATTTACAAAGTATACATTTTGACATTTTAAAAAGTTAATGAATTTGTAAAAAAAAAAAACACTAACTAATCATAAAAATGTGTTGAAGAATATGTTATATGTTTAAAAGATTGTGTTACTAGCATATAACAGTTTGTATATATTATAATTGGTAAAAATTTAAAATAAATAGTTTAAAAATATAATTTATCTTTTTATCCTCATGTTATTTGTATTATATTTATACTTTAGAAGAATTGCATTAAAAAGAGAACGAAATCTTTAATCTGCATTCTGATAGTGGATTTTATTCATAAAACTTCCATATTTTATGCAATTAAAAGATTAGGAAAGTGGTGGTAAAAGCAATAATAAAGCAAATAAATTTAAAAATTGGTAGGATAGACTAATTTCAAAAACTAAAATAAAAAAATGAAGACAGTATTCTTCTTATTTGTAATAAACTCCCAAAAATAATAGAAAACACTCCAAATTCTTTCTCTCCAATTTTAACATAGTCGAAAGTAATGGTAAGAAGATTTAAAGACAGCAGAACTTTCACATTTAAAAATTATATAAAAAATTATTTTTATTAGTTAATTAAATTAACAATAATATTTAAATAAAACATTCAAATAAGGAGTGGTAATAAATTCGAGGGAGTGAGAAAATACACTCCATTCTTTCGAGAAGCAACTTTGTTTTGAACTAGGATTAAATTTAAGACCAAAAGTTAATTGAAATATTTTCTTTTATTTGATTCTTCCCTTGTAAGAGATGAGAACAAAGTTAAATTATATTTAATATAAAATTAACGATAATAATTATTTTAAATATTATTTTGAACTAGGATTAAATTTATGACCCAAAGTTAATTGGAATATTTTTTTTATTTGATTCTAGAACAAAGTTAAATTATATTTAATAGAAAATTAACAGTAATACACGAAATACACTCTTAATTTATACTAAAAGAAGGGAAGGAAAAAGAAAAGTAAAAACCTAATTATCCCATTTACTTCCAAGTAGAAGTCGCTTCACAATTAAATTTTGGTTATTATTGCCCTTAATGGCACCCTTATTTTAAAGAACGCTTCCATCGCTATGGGTGCGGCCATAACGCCTTGTTTGTGGAACATTGTCGCTTTCCTCACTATCATCAGACTGTGAGAAGCTGCTGCTATGTTGCTTCTGAATAACAGGACAATGAGGACACATCGTAGGCTTCCAAAGGCCGGTTCTAGAAATTTCATCAACCATCCAAAATAATGCAGAAGTAGGGTGTTGGATAGGACCATCCACAGCAAACTCCAAAAATCCATCATCTGAAACCCTAATATTTATCACAATAGAAAGGCCAATATCTGCTCCACCACTAACATAAGTGTAATAGAATGCCAAAGTCACCATGAAAGGCCTTTCATCCCCTCTCTTTTTCTTCCGCACCTCAACTATAACACTCTTCCTTGTTCCAATCCCATACGTATCAACGTGCGTTTCAATAACACTGCTCAAAGCATAGGTTCTCTTTCTTATTACAGCTTTACAAAGTTCCCATGTTAACCCTACACTATTTACGTAAAGAAGACCAGCCTCATCTCTTCGTACCTCATAGGTAAAGCTTCTGCTTTTCAATTTATCATCTACAATGTAGTCGTTGATTTTAATCTGTAACTCCTCATCATCAGGACTTTTTTCCTGTCGAAATTTTAGTTTTTTTGTCTTGCTTAAGATAAGTGTACAAATTGATCCATTTTCTGCATTATATGACATTTCCCATGTTTCTTTACATCCTCCTCCCGTAATTCGTAAGAGCTCAGATTTTTTTCTTTCAAGTCAATGGCAACAGATTTTCCCAATTGTATATGGTAAGAACAATTATCATTTCTTATAAGACGAAAGCATCCAGGATTGTTTCCCATGTGTGTATATATTTGTATTAGGTGTAGCTCAATTTCTAGAACATGCAACGTGATAGAACAGGTGACAAAAAGACAGAGAAGTAAGAATGTAGAGAAATGATAAAAATTTCAGAATGAAGAACTATATATGAAGATATGTACCTCCACATATAACTTGACGAGATAAACGATTTACTTTGATGAGATGAGCATTGAGACTAAGTATACTATAATCTATCCCACCACTTCACCTAAAATAATCAGATGATAGTTCTGCTCTGCACAACTGGGTTCTTATGGTAAACATATTAATACACAAATTATAGAATCTTTGCACTGTTATTGAAAAGCAAGCTCTATTCTAATTACACAGAATAATTTTGGTCGCATCTAATTCTCCAACATATTTATGATTCAGTCGACTGACATATGCACCTCCCAATTGATTCTTTTATATCACAACACAACAATATCTCTGTCTTTTTCTTTTCATTTATTCTATTCTTTAAATTTAATTTATATTTAAATGTAATTATTTATAAATTTTAAATTTCAAATCTTTATACTAATTGTAAATTTCATGTAAATATTATAATCGTGTAAATATAAATGAATAGGTTTTCTCTGGTAAAAAAATCAGAACAAATGCATTAGTCATTTTAATCATAAAAATAAGTTGAATACCATTTTCTTGAATATTATAACTTAGTTATTAATTTTTAAAAATTTTATATTATTTGACTTACAATTTGAATGAAAGAATTATTTTTTATATATTAACCATACAATCTACAATGGTTTCTATCGTAAAAATGTCGACTGAATTAATGAATTTTGTATTAGTAATTTTTATAAACACAACTTTCTACCTGCTATGACCACTTTATGCTGATGTGATTTCATATCCAAGAAGATTATGAAAATAGCTTGGGATTAATTCCAGTTGGTTTGTTTGTGTTTGATCACTATGGCTGCATAAGAATTATATTATATTTAAAAATAAGATCTTAAAGTTGAATTAATGATGGATATGATACAATTAAGGTTCTAGACATAGCTTAGGGAAAAGTATACGGTTTAATTATTTTGTTATGAATAATAAAGTACCTTTATTATTATGATGTATATAGGAGTTTGGCTACCCCTTTAACCATTTAATATATTTGTTATCGGTTCATAAAAAAATAAAAAAACCAAACAAAATGTTTACTATAAAAAGTTAATATATTAAAAGCACCAGTTCACTTAATTTTTACTTAAATAACTTAAATTTTTATTCTAATTAAAGTCTTAAAAGTGTAATTAAAAGTTCAATTTTAATATAATTGAAAATCAATTTCTTAATTCAACAAATATTTTCTTCAAATTAGAACATAATCACTTAAAATGTTTTAATTAAGCAAACATTAAGTTCTAGAATTCATAAAATCTCAAAATTAGAATGGAAACCACCAATCACGTTCCTTTATCTCATTTTAATTTATATTCCTCAATCTTTCTTTTTTCAAGTCAATCCTAATAGATTTGCCCAGTTCTTTAATTGTAAACTTTACATTAAAAACTATAAAAAAAATTTTTTTTTCGTTTTATTTGAATTATTTAACAAAACTTAACAACATTTGTTAGCATTTTCTTTTATATTTGAATGAGGAAGAGAATACACCTCCTTCTATGACATGCAACTTGACAAATTATGATTGTAATGACAAATTAGGATCGGTAATTATTGGGTGTAGTTTATAAAGTGTTGGATAGAGATACACCTTTCTTCTACATTTTTTTTTTTGCTGTGTTAAAATAAAGGGATAAAAACTATTTAGCCTTAAAAAATTTATACGAGGTGGCAGTAATTTTGATAAAATAGAATTAAATTATTCTTAAATATACCTTTTATATATCTTATTTAAAATTTATTTATTTTATCTATTTCTAACGTATTTAATCATTTTATCTATTCTTCTCTATGGTTTTTTTTTTATCATTGTAGTGTAATCTTAATTCCAAATTACCGTAATAGTATAAATTTTTACAAATTTATTGATATAGGATAAGCTGTTAGAAACATAACATCCCTTTGAAAGTTTTGCATCTTAAATATAACTTTCATGGTATTTTTTTTTTTAGGATTAAGAGTCAGTGATTAAAATAACGATTTGTTAAACAAAAATTTGAAGTCCTGTTTAGCAATTGTGACTACTCAGTGTGTTTGTTTTTCTGAAATAAAACTTCTCTTAAAAAAAAACAAGTCGTAATTTACCATATAATAACTTTTGCCCAATATAAATCGTCGTCAATATTACCACTCCTTAAAATACCATTAAAATTAATACTAAACATGTATTGTTTTAAGGGAAGTCGCATTTTGGATCTATGATCTTTTAAAGGGAACTCGTCTTTCTCAACCATGAGTCCTTGACTAATCTTAGATCCATAAATTTTTTAAAATCTACCCTATAATGGCAATTTGAGAAGCAAATTGCACTTAACTAAGTTCACTTCTCTCTTTCCTTTTTTTTTTCTCTTAATTATATATATTATACAAATAAATTTCTCGACCAAATACAAATACAACCCACCTTGTACTGAAAGAAGGGAAGGAAAAAGAAAGTACAAACAAAATACCTCATTCTCTTCCCAGAATAAGTCGCTTCACATATAAATTTTGGTTATTATTGTCACTAATGGCACCATCATTTGCAAGAACGCTTCTTCCTTCCACTATGAGTGTGGCCATGAAATTTTGTTGGTAGAGAATTGTCACTTCCTTCAATGTCAGATTGTGAGAACATGCTGCTACTTGCTACGTTGCTTCTTAACAGCAGCACAATGAGGACACATGGTGGGCTTCCAAAGGCCGGTTCTAGTAACTTCATCAAACATGTAAAACAATGCAGAAGTAGGGTGTTGGATAGGGCCATCCACATCCAAATCCAAATACCCATCATCTGAAACCCTAATATAAATCACAATAGAAAGGCCAATATATGTTCCGTAAGTATAATAGAATGCCACGGTCGCCATGAAAGGCATTAATTCATTCCCTCTCATTTTCTTCCACTCCTCCTTAACTATAAGACGCGTCCTTGTTGCAGATTCATACTTATAAACATCCGTTTCTAAAACGCTACTTAATACATAGCTTGTCTTTCTTGTAAAAGGTAGCGTCGATTGTGGCAAATTTACGTAAAGAAGACCAGCCTCATCTTTCAGTACCGAAATGGAAAAGCTTGTAATAAAGTCACTGATTTTAATCTGTAACTCCTCTAAACCAGGACTTCTGTAATCTTGTGGTGTTCTTTTGGTCTTGATTAATAAGAGTCTAGAAATTGATCCATTTTCTGCTTTATATGACATTTCCCATGTTTCTTTTATTCCTCCCATATCTGGTAATTGCTCAATTTGCTTTTCTTTCAAGTCAATGGCTACATATTTTCCTAGTTGTATATGGTAAGAATAACATCCATTTCCTACAAGACAAAAGCATCCATGACCGTTTCCCATGTTTGTGTATTTGTATTAATTAGGAGTACTTAGCTCAATTTCTAGAACATGCAACATAAATGAAAAACCAATAATGAAAAAAACATATATGAAGAAGATATGTACCTCCCCACAAAACTTGACGAGATAAACGATTTTCTTTGATCACTCTATTCCGCCACTTCACATAGAATAATCAAATGGCCCTCTTCGTATGCTCAGTTGGGTTCTTATAGTAAACATATAAATACACAAATTATAGAATGTTTGCATTGTAAGGGGAAGCGTTATTCTTCCGCAGAATCGCATTTAATTCTCCAATATATTTCCGATGCGGCTTTGCTTCGTTTTTCATCCAAGACTTCTTTTCTTCTCTTTTGCTTGATTCGTTCGACTAGTTATACTTATATGCACCTCTCAATTTGATTTTTATATCTAGATCTAGTAGATAACACAACACAATAATATCTCTTTTTTTCTATTTTATTGATGTTTAATTATAATTAATTATATTTTTAATTCTAAATTATATATATTGTAATTAATTGTAAATTTCATGTAAATATTGTAGTTATGCAAATAGAAATGAACGAGTTCAATCCATTGTTCAAATTTCTCTATTATATGCATGTTCCCTTTTAAAAATACAATTTCATAAACAGTACAGCTTTTTCTGAAAAATATCAAATATACCTAGTCACTGACAGAAATTAAGTGCATTTAGTTTTTTGAAAATAGTTTATTTTGTATTATTTTAAATTTTTAATAATTTCCATCAATAATAGAAATTTTCAATAAAAAAGATAATAATATAATAATTAAAATAAATATTTTCTCACTTTATAAGACAATAATCTTTATGATGGTTAATAGAATATACACGTGGGTTTTATAAAAAAGTTAAACTTCGGAATGAGAACTGCCTATAATGATTTCTATTTTCAATAAATGGTACTTTCAATTTAGATAAAAAAAAATTATTTATTTAATTGATTAGTTAATTCTCCAACTTAATACATAAGTATATTTTAAAAATAAAATTTTATTAACATTAACTTTTAAGATTGATTTTAAACATTTAAAAATAATTTTTTATTAAAAATGAGATATTTATTATATTAAAATTATAAAATTGTAATATTTTTTATTTTAACAAAATTATTAATTACTTAGTTGTAAGGACTGGTGTTAATACTTTTATAAAAAATAATATATATACATGCAATAAAATTGTGATACAAAGTGCTCTCACAATTTCAAGTCAGGTATGGCGAAGATTAAACATTCTTCCCAAAAATATCAACTTTGAATGGAAAAAACATTACCTTTATGGGAAAAAAAAAAAACCAAAATTAAGTGTGACCAAACTAATAGAAGATACCACAATTATCTGAAATGGCCCAATTGGAGTATATTTTTGGGGAGTTTGAATGGGCTGGGCCTTATGAGATGGTGGAAGCTGAGAATAAAGAAGGAGAACAGAGGTAGAAGAAGATGGAAGTGAACCAAAATTTGGTTTTGCATCGCCGGAAAAATGAAGCTGAAGCAGTTGGAAGGCTTCCTTTCTCATCTTCAGCAATTCCCTCACCCTAAGGTTTCCTCTCTCTCTCTCTCTCTCTCTCTCTCTCTACCACAGTTGTGAAGAATCATTCACTCGCTTGTGTCTGTGGATTATGGCAGGTGGAGCTTGAACAGTACCCTACGGGACCCCATATCGCTTCTCGAATGCTTTTCACTGTGCTCCCTCTTTCTCTTTTCCCAGTTTTTCATATTTCACTCCTTCTATGCCCCTTCTAACTATACTCATCAATCATGTTAAAGTTTGATTCTTTTGCCTTATCCAATGTTCCTCTTCTCGTGCTTGTTAATGGGTATTTTTTAACATATGTTTATTCATGCAAGTTCACCATACTAATATATGCAAATGCATCCTTTCGTGTTTGTCAACTTCTTGTTTGTAACAATTTCAACTATTTGTGGGGTTTTAAGGTAGCATTTCGAATATTTGCTTGCAATTCTCTGTAATTTGGTAAATCATCTGCAACGTTATTGGGGAGGGTATTGTAGTAAATTGATCCAATGGCGTGCACGTGTGTGTGTGGATTTGCAAAATGTTTAGGGATGCGTATGGTTTTTGAGTTTAGTGTGAAAATAGTTATAGTAATAGTAATTTCCACATTGTTAAAGTTCTGTTTCCTTTGTGTTTCTCGAGAATCAGGCAGAGAATTCTTTTGAGGATGTGAGCAACAAAGTTGTGGCTGACTTTGGATGCGGTTGTGGTACATTAGGTGTTGCAGCTGCACTTTTGAGCGCAGAGTGAGTTATATCTTTCACTGCTCACTCTTGTGGGATCTTATACCAGTTTGTCTTCTTTTTCGCTTCTCATTCTCTTACTTTTTTAATGCTATTGCTACCTAAATCAAAGCCAACATTAGAATTACATTAATAATACTTATTCTAAATTTTGAACCAGTAATGTGTAGGAACCGTCTTGAATGGATTTTTATTTTATTAAACCATTCACCATTTCATAGACATGGTCACTTGGAATTCGTCCTTTTTGAATCAAATCTAAAGTTCCAAAATTCAAATTGTTGTTTAGCAAAATAGTGCACCAAATACTTTTTTTAATCACATAAGATGTTTTTGTATTACTAGATCTAATATTCTCTTGATTTTTCTTAGCATTGATCAGACATGTTCTTGGCATTGACATTGATCCTGAATCTCTTGAAGTAGCATCTCTTAATGCTGAGGAACTTGAGGTATTGTCTTTCTGCTGATTATTATGGTAAATGAGCTTATAGGTTTCTTTTCTTGATAGCCAAGTTTCTTGTTTGAGAAAAAGAATATTAGTAATGTTTGATATATTTTGGATTTCAAACATAAAAGAGTGATGTTGTATGGAAAATATTCAGATTCTCAGATCAATGTATTAATGTTCTAATGGAATAAGAAGAGATGAAAAGTGGTTATAGCATGCTCTAGATGCAATAAATAGACCTTTTTTTTTATTGAATGCAATAATTATGTTAAAGTGGGCTAGTAATAATTGACACAAAAACTGCAGGTGGACATGGATTTTATTCAGTCTAATGTCTTGGACTTGGGATGGAGAGGTAGCTTTTCACATCATCTTCATCTTATGATACCATAACATTGTACAAGTTTGTGTCTTGAACCTGACTTTCTTTTTTGTGGTACATGAAGCAAAACTATTTTTTGGTGCTAGCAATTATCTTTGAAAAATTATAGAATGGCATCTAAACAAGTTTATAAGCACTTGAATTCCACTTCATATGATACCAGTTGCTTTCAAGATGCACAAGCTTTGAAATAAAATTGTCTTATTTTTATTATTATTTTGATTTATCAAGGGCTTTTTCTTTGTATCAGGTGTTATGTTTTGTGGGAAATCGGTTAATGTTTGAACACTATCCTTTTAATGACACCTATCTGGTTTTGCTTTGAATTTGTAGTTGAAATTTATGGTCTTAAAAAATGAGTTTAATGATGTCGATCTTGGCACTTTTATTTTTATATTTTGTAATTATTGGTATATGGAGCAACAACACTTTGAATGAAGGCTTGTTGCCTGGGTATATTTTGTGAATTGAGTCCTTAATTTCAACAGCAATGGGTATATTTTTTAGCCATCATTATATGATTTATATTGTAAGCTAGTTACAAGTATCCCATGATTTATATGATATTGTTGTTACTAAAAAACATGATCATGTGATCTAGTCATTGCTTTAAGGGGAAAGTTGGCTTGGAAATCAATTCTAACTCTATATTTATCTATTGCTGAATTTTTTTCTGTAACAAATTCATAATGGTTATCTTGGTATTTTCTCTAGGTCCAATTGTTGATACAGTTATAATGAATCCTCCATTTGGTACTCGAAAAAAGGGTGCAGATTTGGATTTTCTCCTTGTTGCTTTGAAGGTAAGCAATAACATTGATGCTGCTTATAAACGTATGATTGATGGGAATTCTAATATTACCACACCATATATTGCCTTGTCAGGTTGCTTCTCAAGCTGTTTATTCCTTGCATAAGACTTCAACAAGAGATGTAAGTCATTTTCATTTTAAATTCTAAGTATTAGATTGGGTGATTGAGGTCTGCCGTCTGCATCACTGTGTGCCCAAGCAAATTTTGACTTATTATCTCCTGCGTCATATATGTTGTTTTTAATCACAGAAGGTATATCAGGACAATAGCTAATAACCTTCCCATTCCACAAGGATGCCACTAGTGTTATTTTATTGAACCTTTTCATTTAGATTTTCATGAGAGTGTGGCATTGTTGTATGGAACTTATTCTATCCTTCCTCCAAATTAGTTTTTTGGATCTGGCTTAGCATTACATTTAATAATGATAGTTTTTAGACTATAACAAGTAGAATGCTCAGGTTGTTGGCTTAGTCTGAAATTTTAGCCATAAAGTAATTTTGGAAAAAAGCCGTGTCTTTTTTTCTCCTTTCAGTTTTTCTCAGGAAACTATAAGCAAATTATTATTTTCTTTAAATAAGTTAAACAAAACATGTAGTTTTGCCAGTTGCGATTTTTCACCAATGTTGGCTAAATAAGTTAAACAAAACATGTCCTTTGTACTTAATTTATCATAGGAAAAAGTTAAAACAAGTGTACCAACATCATAACCCAATCCTGCCCCAAGTTGTCATATCACTATATGAAGTTGTTTACTGTCTACTGACTTGGCTAATCATTTAAAGTCTAAAGAGATGTGGTATGGCATAATTATTGTTTGTACTTTTGCATTCTTGCCTTCGTTTCTTTAACAATTTAGTAACTAATTTTTCCTTGAACTATCCTCCTTTTTCTATATGTTGATTTATTATCTGATACATATTTAGATAAAATTCCTGTTAAAGCATTTTAGAAGTCTATCTTATACAGGGAAATTTTCTCACAATGAGAACTCAGTTCTACAAAATACAAAAACTACCAATATGTCTTTTTCTTCTCACCAATTGCTTTGTTATTTTATGTTTTATTTATGCATATTGCATAAGCACGAGTTTGCATGTAATCTGTAATTCCATGGGGCTTCTCAACAGTATGATATGATTTTTTTCCTCTTATGTGACAATACACCATGTTTCAATTTTATCTGATTGCAGCATGTGAAACGAACGGCCTTAAGGGATTTCAATGCTAGCACTGCTGAAGTTCTATGTGAGGTGAGTGTAGTTTACTTCATATTTGACTATGTTTTTTAGCACTATAATAAAAGTTAAATTTTCCTTTATATAAGCCAGGTTTAACTTTGATTTGAACCATGCCCAAGTTCTTACATTTCACTTAACATATCTACCTGTTCAGTTTTCTTATTCCAATTATTTATGTAGAAACCGACCACAATGCAATTTACCTGACTCTTGCTTTTGAAGTCTAATTTTGTTTTCATGCTTTGGCAGCTTCGATTTGATGTACCGAAATTGTACAAATTTCATAAGAAGAAGGAGGTGGATATTGCTGTGGACCTCTGGCGTTTTGTACCTGCAAGTCATCAAAGCAGAAGTATTTGATGCATTCAAGGATTATGTGTATTGGAATAGATGAATAAGATTACAAACTAAAAGGAAAATTTTTTAGGTACCTAAAAATATAGAAATCTTATTTCTGTTCTTTTTTTTTTTTTCCTTCTCTCTCTTTCTCTCTCTCTCTCTCTCTCTCTGTTACAAGCTCTTGCATGTTAAACTGGGGTGATGCCACTTCTGTAGTTGTATGTATCTATAAATTCAATAGTTGAGAAAGTTGCGTGCTATGTCTACTATCATAGAGCATCTTCCTGAAGTTGGATTTTAACAATCCGTTTTAAACATTTATCTGATTATGAAATATGGTGCTGTTTTTAATAATCCATTGCACCAAGATGCATAGGATCTTGTTATCATAACAATCACAAGACAAGGTTATAAAAAAAGTTACTTAGCCCCACATGAGGAGCATAGGAATTTCACGACCATGTTAGCTCTTCAGACAAAATATAGTAATTCTTAGTGGAACATATCAAGAGAGCTATCGAAAAAAAGTGTTTATTTTTGTGCAAGGAAAAAAAAAAACCAATTCTTGAGCATGCTCTAGGCACAATTTCCATATGTATGTTATATGTGATGTATTTCAAACGCGTATAACGTATAGCACAAGATGTCATGCCAATTTGGACTCCAGTTTTAAATAGCAGAAAGCTCCATGAACTTTGTGATTGAAGAGATTATTAAAAAACAAAACTTATTGCTTATCCATAGAAAGAAGAATAATAAGCATCTTATCAATTAATTCAGCTATACCATCATTCTAAATGCAAGGAGCAACAATTCCTTACACAGTTTTAAAAAGGATTGATCATTTACATGAGAAGAAATGAGCCAAGAATTAAAGATAATAGTAATTCAAAACTTAATGAAACTCGTAATTCAAAAATGCATCCACCAATATTTTTTAACATACAAACTGTAGAGAATTGACACAAAATTTTGTCCTCGTGTATCCTCAATGTAGATACAGATTAGTAAAATGTGTCCCTGCCGATTGCACATTTGGTTATTATGAAGAATAAGAATCAATTGCTGTTTCCAACATTAGTCTCTCCCTTCCACATACTCCTTCATATGCGTTTGTAACATGTATATGGATTCCCTTGTTACCATTCTTGCTTCATAGCACTTATCCTAAAGTTATGCTGGTATTGTTGTTTCTTTTTCAGTCGTCTCCCCGAGGGTAAACCGAACAAAACGCCGCACTTTAATGTTCTCTCCAATAGCAGCTACAGTTTGCTTCACCAAGTCTTTAACTAAAACACTGTCATCCTTAATAAAAGGCTGTTCAAGAAGAGCAAGCTCTCCAAGCCTCTTTGAGACCCTTCCCTCAACAATTTTTTCTCTGATGTTCTCTGGTTTTGAAAGAAGGTCCTCTCTCTGCATCTCCAGTTCCTTTTCTTTGTTCACAGTAGTCTCTGGAATATCTTCAATGGATACAAACTGCACCTGTGGGCAGGCCACAACCTGCATTGCAAGATCATCAACCAATTCTTTGAATTTTTCACTTCTACCCACAAAGTCAGTTTCACTGTTCACTTCAATTAGAACTCCGATGCGTGAATCGTGAATGTATGAACCAATTCTGCCTTCAGCTGCTAGCCTGCTGGATTTCTTGTCGGCAGTTGAGAGACCCTTTTTTCTGAGGTATTCTTGGGCCTTTTCAAGATCCCCTCCAGTTTCAGCTAGAGCTTTCTTACAGTCCATCATCCCAGCTCCAGTTTCTTCCCTTAATTGCTTAACCAACGCGGCTGAGACTGTTACTGTTGATTGCCTGCAGCAGAATGTTGAACAAATTAAGATTTGCAGCTATGCAAATTTAGCGTATATGTACAACTGACATTCACAGTCACACATGCCAGTAACTCAACACCTTCGATTTAAGTTTCACCCAAGTGATGAATAATTTAAAGATGCGTGTGTGTAACTGTGTATGCAAGGAAGGATGGTGTAAACACATGCTAGAAATGTAATATTAAATGTAATAATAGAGTGGTGAAGACACAATTTAACGCTACCACCAAGATGATGTCTACTTTGGCATAATTATGCCAATTTCAGTGCCTGTTTCCAAATCTTAAATAATCCCATTCCAGTAACTAATCACCTAAATTTAACAATTAAATAACTCAATAAGTAAGAAATCACTGAACTACTTACGTTTGCTCAGTCTCCTTGGCTTCTGCAACAGCAGGTTGCTCTTGTGCTGGTGTAGGTGCTGGTTTTGCTGCAGTTTGTGCAGCTACTTCTGCTGCAAAATCCTGGCTTTTCTTCTCTAAACCCTCTCCAAGGTTGAACCGCACAAACCTCTTAACTTTAATATTTTCTCCAATAGTTGCAATAGTTTGCTTGACCCAGTCCTTCACTGCTACCTTATCATTCTTAATGTAGGGCTGCTCAAGCAATGTCAGGTCCTCAAGTCTTTTTCTTATCCTCCCTTCAACAATCTTTGATCTTATCTGCTCCGGTTTTGACAAGAGATCTTCTTTCTGCATTTCTATCTCTTTTTCTTTGTTAACGATTTCCTCAGGAACATCTTCAGGAACAAGGTACTCTACTTGAGGGCATGCAGCCACTTGCATGGCTATGTCATCAACAAGCTCTTTAAAAATTTCACCTCTGGAGACAAAATCTGTCTCACAATTTACTTCTACCAAAACACCTATCCTACTATCATGGATGTAAGAACCTATCCTTCCTTCAGCAGTTACCCTACTGGCTTTCTTTTCTGCACTTGATAAGCCTTTTTTCCTAAGGTACTCCTGTGCTTTAATAATGTCCCCACCAGTCTCTGATAGAGCCTTTTTGCAATCCATCATTCCGGCTCCTGTTTCTTCCCGAAGTTGTTTCACAAGTGCAGGTGATATAGTTGCTGCAATCCAAAGAAAAGGGGCAGATCTTTTAACTATTGGAAATCATATGTAAGAATGCAAAGAAAATTCAATAGGGTGGAAAACCAAGAAATATCATGAATGTAAAGTATTGTTAATAATAATTGTCATAATTTAATTCCCCCAAAGGCAATGCCATTGATCAACATGGAATTGCAGTGCACCTCCATTAGTCAGTCCAAGATGTATGTGCTCAAAGTCTGGCTAACATACTTCAGTTTGATGCAGAAAAGTGTGAAATGAAATAGGATGAAAATAAGATGAAATTTAAACCTTTACCTGAGCTTTGTCCTGAATTAGTAATTCCAGATTGTCCATTAGAATCAGATAAACTGCTGCTTTTCTCAGATACAATTGCAACCTCTTTATCTTCAACCTGTGAGGTATAAGAATTTTCATTGTCTGTGGCAGGTGTTTGTTTTTCTACTACTTCTTTGGGATCATCAATGGAGGTTGTTGCTACTTCAGTGGCAGAACTTTCAGGAGCAGGAACTTGATCATTTTCTCCTTTTACATCTGTTGATAGAGGATTAACATTTCAAGAACACTCCTTTTATAACAGTAGACGGAGAAAGAAAAACTGTGTTACATAAGCCATATAGGGCTCAATTTCTTCAGTTAGATAAATGATAAAACTAATTGATTGGCATCACATTGGAAATGAAAGGGATGCAATATCATGTGATATATGATGTATATATATAAAAAAAAAAAAAAACCTCAATTTAGGAAAACTTGCTACAAATTCCTGTTCATTTTAACCAAAATGAAGTGGGCAAATAGAAAGTGGAAGCATAACCTTTATTCTCAGGAATAGTTCCAACATTGTCATCTGCTTGTGATGCAAAGGAAATATTATTTGATAAATTAATTAGAAGGCTCTGGTACATGCATCTTATTGCGGAAAATATGTTTGATTTTAGACTTAAAATCAGCATTTCTGTATGTAAATATAAATGAGAGAGAAATAGACAGACAGATAGATATATAGATATAGCAGAGAGAGTGTGAGATCGATTAAAAAGAACCTGCAGTTTCCTGGGTTGCGGGTGCACTAGATGTAATATCCAACTCTGCAATAGCACTATTTTTATCAGGGCTAAATTCAACTGCATCACTTTCGGTTGGTGCTGCTGCTGCAAATTCTTCCTTTGCATTAAAAGTTTGTGATTGTTTCTCTCCTTCTGCAACAATATGATCAAGTCCACTTTCTATTACATTTTCATTAGCAATTTCAACAGGTGAGTCAGTTTTCTCATTGCTTATTGTGACATCTGTCTGAGTAGCCTCCTCAGTAATTGGGTTTACAGTAGATAAAGCATCTTCATGTACCGAACTTCCAGAAGCCACCTCTGTTTCCTTCTCAATGACACCATCCAAACTTGGCATTGGGATAGAAGCATTGCTGACTAGGTTACTTTCATCATCCACAACAGTTTTTTCATTGCTTATTGTGACATCTGTCTGAGTAGCTTCCTCAGTAATTGCGTTTACAGTAGATAAAGCCTCTTCAGGAACCAAATTTCCAGACGCTACCTCTGTTTCCTTCTCAATGACACCATTTGAACCTGGCATTGGGATAGAAGCATTGCTGACTAGGTTACTTTCATCATCCACAATAGTTGTTGAGGAAATGTTCAATGTACTGGCTCCCACATCTTCCTTATTTTCAGAAATATCATCTTCAGCATCTTGTTTTACCGCAGAGGGAACATCATCTGTCAACTTGCTGCTTTCTGGTTCACCCTGCACATCAGGAACATCCAATACAGTTTCCCCTTGCTTGACAGTTCCCTTAATTTCTTCTGATATTCCTGCAGTGGACAATGTTTGAACTTCACTCTCAATTTTCTCCCTTTCATCCAGAAAAGAAGCAATATCCTTATTCTTACGAAAAGCCAAAACAAAAGGGTTTGTTGCAACATGAACAACCCCTTGGGTAAATGTTGTGTCGGAATGTACAACATCTTCTTCCTTCTTCATAGTCAATGTTACTTGTCCTCTTGTGATACGCAAAACTCGTACATTGACTTCTTGGCCAACTTCCAGCGAAGTGTTGCCCATAACATTCCCAAATCCATCATCAGGTTCCTCAGATATGGGAAGAAATCCTTCCTCCCCTTCAGGAAGAGATATAAAAGCACCTCTCCTAGCCATATTCTTCACAGTACCAACCAGGTCCTGCCCTAGGACAAATTTTGTGCTTTTCATCACATTATCTTTCCTTGGACTGGATTTTGAAGTGTTCCTCTTCCCAGGTCCAGCTTTCTCAGTATTGGTGGGTGTATCTTTACGTTGCTTACTGGTGTCAGCATCTTCACGCATAGAGAGAGAAATACGCTGAGTCTCAGTATTCACTTCAATCAGTTTCACCTTCACTTCTTGGCCTACAGAAACAACACTTGCAACATCCTTAACATAGCTATCACTCAACATCGAAATATGAACAAGCCCATCTGTGAAAGCTCCAAAATCAACAAAGGCACCAAATGGCTGGATAGATTTTACTTTCCCGGTAAAAGTTGCCCCGGGAATCAAATCCTCATTCTTTACGGGAGGCATTTCACTTCTCCTTGTAGATCTTGAACGTTTAGTTTTAGCTGTCTCAGGGTTGGCATCAGACTTGGGAGATGAATCTTGACTTATCCCAACTTCATCTGATGGAACTTCACCAGAATCTTCATCTGTGACAGGTGAACCTGATTCCTCCACAGCTACATCTGTTTCTGTGGCTGATATAGAGGTTCTAGACTTCTTATGAAAAGAGCATACCCTTTTGTTCTGTGGAAACACTCCACCAGAAACAAATGAAGGCAAGAGAAATCTCCAAGTTGATGATCCAGGTTTTACAGAGCTCCTTGACAAGCTGAGTCTTGTTAAAGAGTTATTCTTCCTCGTTGAATAGGTAACTCCAGGAATAATAGAAACATTGCCAACAGAGCATAGTATTAAAGGATTCATGTTACTTCAATTGTGAAACTTAGTTATATTTCAGACTCAGTTCATCTTTGTCACCTTCAGGAAACATATGAAGGCTATAAAAGTTAGTAAGGACTTACGTAGCAAGTTTAGTACCTAGTTGGCCATTATATAAGGATACAAAATAATGGCAGCATTGGATAGAAATAACTTAATTGTTCAGCTAACAAAATCTTACAAACACATGAATCACATCACAAAACATGCTCAGCATATCAGCATCAATATTCAGAAAAAATCAAGCATAATCACATATTTCATCAAAATCACACCACATGAATTTACTGTGAGAAAGATAGTAAATGAATCAACCTGAAAAATTCTAGGAAATTTTTATATCAGGATTTCCATTTAGTGTAGCAGGGTAATTAACTTCACAAATGCCATTTTTTATAATACAAGGGTCTGTTTGGTGTGAGAAAATGTTTGGTCATCATTTCTTATTTTCACTAACAATTATAATAATGTCATCTTGTTTCCAATTTCTCTTTATTTAAATAATTTGTACATCAAACAGTGAAAACAACACCAAAATTTTTTGTTTTCATCATTTCCTGTACAAATGCTTGAAAACATGAAACAAAACAAATACAAGATAGTATCTATACAATTATTAATGAAAGAAAGAAAACAGGAACAAAAAACGTTTTAGTAAATCAAATAGAACCTAGTTTTTTCTTAAAATACTTTATCTTCTCCAGCTACATGATGGTCCTTTTGTCTTATCACTTTATTCATGCAAGATGTTTAGAAGCATTAAAGCTCCAACTTTAACTATTTCACCTCGTTCAAAATCCAAAACACTGAGTTGTTGAATTTCAAAGTCTGGTTTTCACAATCCAACTCTGTGACAAGTTCAATTATCTAAATGTTAATTTCAAAATAACGATAGCACATATTATTAGCCTGTGTATATTAGCATTTCCATCAGAATATAACATTACATGATACTATATCTCACCAAATGCTAAAATTACCACAAGTATAAACAATTTCAAACCCTCTCCCCAAAAATTATGCATTAGTCTAAAACACAATCAGGTTGACAAATTGAACCAAAAAATAAAAACAAGTCTTTCTAAGCTCAATTCATTGAAATACCACACAAGTCATGCACAAAATTAGCAAAATTATTTTATTGAATTAAGCTGAAAGGGAGTATATTCTGTCTCAATTTTTAGAACAGTGTGGAACAACAATGCTGTGGGGAGACTTTGCAACAGTAAGAAGTGAGTCCAAAGCTCAATTAAGCAATTTTAACAGAGCACTGTAAAATCCACACAATCATCAGAAGTAGCATAGAGAAAACAAAGACCCATCATGGTTTTTAGCAGAATCTGTACCTCAGAAACTTCAAAAGACCAAATTAAAAAACACAGAAATTTTGGACTCACAAGTTTGAAGGGGAAAAACACAGTGTAAAAATGAAGTCTTTGTAGTGAAACTCGAAATGGGTATTGATGATAGATAGATGATGAAAGTGGAGGGAGGGAAATGAATGGCGAGGCTTTAAATCCTTATCTTCATTCATGAGCCAACGTTGTTGTCTCTTTGCTTTGCTTCTAAATAAACCGTGAAGCTGCTCGGCTCAGAAAGCTTCAGCTTCAGCTTTATCAGCCACTGGGCTTTGGAGCCCAAATTGATAAGCCCATAAAATTGGGCTCAAAATATGGGCTTAGCCTCTTAGGGCTTCAAAAATCCATATTGAGTACTCTAAATTTTGGGTTAAGCCGAAATAAATTATTCAAACTCTTGCCCACCAAAGAAGGAAAAGTATTCACCCATTTACATTTTCTATGATTTTTCTTTTTTTGCATATCATTGAGTAGGTTAATTGTTTGTTTGGGATTCATTTAAAATAGAGGATATTTTAAAATATTTCTAAAAAATGATAAAAAAAAATATTGAATAAATTGAAACAAATGAGTTTAATTTAGTTTTTAAGAAAATCCTATTCTTTTTCATGAAAATTCATATACTAGTGTACTCTTATTCTTTCTTAATATATGTTAAAATCTTAGATTAGAGGCTACATTCTATGTCAAATGGTCATATAACTAGTGTACTCTTATTCTTTCTTGGATTTATATGTTAAACTTCTATGTCAAAAGGTTACATGAAAATGTCGTACCTATTTATCCTTTACAGACATTTATATATTTTACTAAAGATTATATAATTTTTAAATCTAATAATTTAGTATTAATAGACATATTATACTAAAAGCAAGTAAAATAAGAAATAATTGGTAATAATGATAATGATAATTACATATTAAAAAAGTTTAAAAAATTTTGTAAACAAAAAGTATTTTCTTATTACAGATGCTCGTTTTTTTTTTATTATTATTATTATTTATTTCTGCTAATGTATTTGCATACATTTTATGATTAACTCTGGCTTAAGTCTTATATGTTTTTAAATTATTTTAAATTAGATCTCTAGCTACATTTTTTGGAATTTCATAAAGTGGAAGGACCTAATTACCAATTTTTAAATAACTTAAAAACTAGGTCACAAGGTTAGCAAGTTCTTGAGCTATTTAAATGTGTGTAATAAATTCGTATACTTAACGGAATTTTAAGAAAAAATCTGACCATGAACGTTATTACAAATAATTTAAAATTTGAAGGACCTGCTACCAAAATTTTAAATTATAATAATTTGTGTATAAATTTTCAAATAATTCAAGACCTAATTTAGCTTTTAAAAAGAAATCCAAAGAAAGAAAAAGTCTTATTAAGATTTAATATATGAAAATGTGAGAAACTTAACTTGTGATTCAAATTGCATACATTTTATATTTGAATCCTAGACAAGTACATTAGAAAAAGAAAAAAAAAAGAGATGAGGTGAATGAATTATTTATGTGTTTGAAAGCATAATAATAGTAAGAATGTGAACACGTGGAGAAAATATATAAAGTATAGTTATAGACCTAATGATACAATATTGAATGCTTGTATTCACACGATGATGAGTTAGGCAAGTTGAGATGTTGAAAGAGTACCTGTGAAATTGGAAGAAATAATGCATGATGTGAACCCAACAGCTATAACAGTACAAAATTAGATTATGATATCTTAATAGAGATTAACTTTCTTAAAATGCGAGCTGTTAACTGAAAAACAATCAAATAATATTGTATTTTCATCATTCAACGATGGTTTCCCAATTCAAAAGAAAATTATCTGTGAAAGAAAACCACCATCCCCACCTCAATATTCCCACCAATCTTTCTTTCTCTTCTATTTTTTTCAGTCTTCACTGCTACCAAAAACTAACCAGTGTTGAGGTATTCTATATTTACACAGTTAAATTTATATGTTTTTTATTAATTGTTGAACAAAGAAAGTTAGTAATACACTTTTTAACATATTATTTGTCACGTATATTTTATTATTGATTAAAATTTATTAAAAACTATAAAAATCATGTGAGTCTCACTCTTTTTTACTTTTCTTTTTCATTTTTTTTATTTTTAATAAATTTTAATTAATAATAAATAATATGTCATTTTATTTTAGTTCAATATTTTCTAAAAATACTTGTTTTTATCTTATTTTACTTTTCATTTTCATTTTATATAAAATAAAAGGATTGAAATGAATGTTATTTTATAAAGTAAAAAATTAAATAACATCTTGTTATAGCATATGCAAAAGAATATATTGATGCAAATTTCGTATAATTATGTAACCTTCAAGAAAGTCTATTATTCCTAATAATTTTTAAAATGTTAATATTGATCGGGTATAAATTATTTAGGAGAATAAGTTGAACAATTGAAAAAGAAAAAAAACTTTCCCTTTACTTGCTACTCTTACTCGTATGAACGCATTCTTAATAGTGAGGTAGATAAAAATAAATAAATAATGCAATGCCCTCCATTTAAAGGCATGGAAAGGTATAAAGAAGTACACAACAAAGTGGGAAGCTAAAATCAAAAGTAAAATAAACAGAATCACCTAAGTCATGATGCATGCAAGAAGAGTTAATTTTTATACTTTACGGCAGAGTAGGTATTTTTATAGGCACAAAATGGTAAGGAACAAATTCTTATTATAATCCATATCACTTTTTTAATCTAATTTTTGTAAAACATTATTCATTATAGCCACTTTAATTAGTATAAAATATTCGTAAAATAAAAACAAAAAGAGCATTTTCAAATTAAAAACTAATTATTTATAAAATAATAGAATGACTGATACTTAAAAAATGAAAATGTGAAGAATATGTACATTGTATTTTTCTATCAAGAATCGCATTTGTAGATTAAAAAAAATGTTGAATTGAATTGAGCAATATATCAATCATGCTTGATTAGAATTTAAGAAAGATATTTTTTTTTTGTCAATTTAATTTTAGATGTAAAATTTAAAATTAATTTATTTTTAAAACAGTTCTGTTATTTTATTTTTAGCATAGTCAGAATATAATTACATACAACAATAAATATATTATACTCTCTCTCTGAACAAGGATAATAATCTTTCCCTTCTATAAATTATACTGATTCTTACACTATTCATTAACCTTAAAATACATGTTTAATAAATTTTAGAAATCAAACTATTTTGTATCCTAAATTTTAAAGAAGTTAAACATTTGTAAACATGCAGTAAAAAAGTTAAAAAATATATATATTTTAAATTCAATATAATAGTTAAAAAATAATATAATAAAATATTTAATTTTAAATTGTACGAAAATTAATAATTTTTTATGTTTATTATAAAAATTATATTGATATAATTTAAAACTTATAAAAATATCAAAAAAATAAATTTATTAAAAATATTAAAGTCTTACTACGTACACAGAAAAAATTAATTGTTATACTTACTTTCGTTAACATATATTATGTAACAAAAATTTATTTATCAATATAATTATCATAAATTTAGGCCAATGATGCAGTGATACACATCAATATCTTATATTTCCAATACATCTTTTATTAGCATATATAACATCTACACTAATATATCAACTTCCATTAAAAAAAATTACATAAATAAAAATAGGTGTAATATAAGATTGATATTTTTATTTATCAAGGTATGATATTTGAGTTTTCTTTATAATTTAACGAAACACAGAGGGCATATTATAATTGAACCTCCATGCCCAATAAACTAAGCCAACCCATGTGTGGACCTCTAAATAATGATTTAAACATTGAGGGATATGACATCATGGGTATGGTTGAGATTGCGTTTCAATTTGTTCTTTAAAATAAATTTGATGATGAGATGATACTTTTATTTAAAAAACAATCAAATTAATCTGAGAAGGAAATCTTAATGACACGTGAAAAGGACAGAGTATATGTCATGTCATGCATGACCAAATGTGGCTGCTTCATGAGTCAAGACTAGACAACTAATTGATCAAACCTATATATATATAATAGAAAAAGATCGAAATTAAAATTTGTAGTCGAGTCCATACACAAATACACGTCTAAGTATAGAAGAAGATAAGAGGTATTTTCTTTTTTCTTATATAATGATTATTATAAATCTCTCCATAAATTAAATGTCATGCTTTTTTTTTTTATATACAATGAGAGCAAGAAGATTTGAAATTAAATTCTTTTGAATATTGTTGAAATTTTCTCAGTGAATTTAAAGTGATCAATCATGCATTAAAATGTAAAGTACAAAGAAGTTAATTTTGATTTGTATCGAGAAATTATTATCAAGTGATACAATTGAATCTTCATAATGGAAAGATTGTTAATCGAGAAACATGATAAAGCAGATAGAAACATAATTTTCGTACAAATCTTAATTAAACATTGGAGAATTAACCACTATAGGCCTGTGCCATTGAATCATGCCAGCATATATCACATCAAAATTAAATCAAGCAAATAAAATATTATTCTTTGGTTGCTGTATATACAAACGCTGGATAAATGGAAATATATAAACCTTAAAGGCCCTCATAACATATGATTGAGCCATAAAATAATGCAAAGCAGACGCTGAACGCTGCTAATCAATACAGCGCACACAAGAAATGAAATTAAAGCTGGGATATTAACTTAATGAGACTTTATATGATGAAAATCAAGTGAATCAGAAGATCATATCCAAGATAGATTATAAGAGCACTAGGGGATGTTGGTTTTATGAGACAAGGAGGACCTATCGCATTAATGCTGCCACATTTCCAAGTAATCAATGGGACCTTATAAACATTTTATAATAACAGATTCATTTCTAAAGTCAAGCCAAGTGTTGAATTTTGCATTTTCCTCTCCACATGTGGGTCAGGACCATTCCTTGTAGTTCCCAAGGTCCCAGTCCAGTTGTTCCAATTATATTATATGTATAGTGTCCATAGAGACTTCTTCTACTTTTATTTTATTGTAAGAAAATCTTCTACCAAAGCAAAACATGGATTCCATGTACATCAAAATATTTCTTAAGCATCTTAAGTTACACATATCTAGAATAAGGTATCCACAGGCTTTTAACTGGACACAGATCAATCATGCATTTTGATTAGGTACATGGGCAAGGGAACTCCTAAATAACCTTATTAATTGGATATCCAAATTATATAAA